GACTGAAACACAGGTATGAATACCTTTTACCAATTTAGATCTGGTTTTCTATTTCACAGTAGCTACGTTTTAAATAAGATAATTCTTTTATAGATCTGTGAGAATCAGTTTATGCAGAAGACTTTAGATATCACTAACAATGTGTTCACAATAAGTTCACTATTCCCGATCTCCAGATCTCTCAAATTTGTGGAAAATAAATAACTTATCACGGAATTATTTTTGGAATCGCTGCTTCGGGTGACGCGTTAGTTGGAGTTTCTTATTGAGTCTATGAATTTTAAGTTTTGCTCTCACTTTATAGTTAGAGGGCCATATTCCTTCTCTACACATTTCGTAGGGTATTTTACTACTCCTCACCACTGAAACCTAAATGCTTCATCTAACTGGTCTTCATATTCTGTAGCTGTTGTTTAAAATGTGCTTAAAATGATAGTTTTAAAATATGTCATTGTTTTCTTTATTTCTCTCCCTATAGACAAATATTTTGTGTATTTCCGGATCTTTATAATAACTCCATAGGGTGATTTAATAATCATTTGTTTGTTCACTAGCACAGTATTCCAAAAATTGTCAAATTAATCTAAATGATTGATACATTTCTAATTAGTTAATTTTTATTGGAATCAGAGTACCATCCAGCTTAAGAAGCATCATTGTAAACTTGGTCAAGCAAATTTTATTGTTAAATGAAACAATACCGCTCTCGATTTTTAACTTACGTTTCTGCAACTAAATCCAATAGTTTGACTGTTAATCTTTGTATTAAAGATAAGTCCTGGATATTTTCTTCCAAGACTTTCCATAGACGAGTGAAGAAGTGAGTTATTGTCCTTTGTCTCATCACCCGAAAGAAATTTATATATGTAAGGAGAATTAAGTTGGAAGAGAAACAGTAATTTTTATAATAATTCGTCTTTTTCGAAAGGGTGTTTTTCATCCCGCCAAAGATCATCATTTAATTAACGTATGTGCCTTAAGGGCTATCTCCTTTATTATTTTCACTTGTACATGTGTCAATCATCAATCCGTAATGAGTTTGTGGATAAATACATCTCAAAAAAGCATTCACATGATTAACACAAGACTTCATGCTAAGAGACCAAGTGATTTGTAATAAAAAATGTTCCGCTTTCTCTATTTAATATTTCCCAAAGAGTTGAACACTTTGATCGGTTTTACGGATATTCAAGTTTGATGTCGTTATTGTATGAAGTATATCTCTTTGCTTAGTGAGGATTTGACAAAAATTACACTATTATTTATTCTCTGAAGAAGTAGCTTACACCAAGTCACAAAACGTCAGAAAATCTAATTTTTCTACTCATTAGGATATTACAAATATACTAATTTATTTATGAAAATCTACCCAATGCTCAATTTATTCGAAATTATCAAGTCAAACTTTGGTAATGATACCTATATTCTTCATTGTATTTGTGAAACTGGTCAGTATTACTACTTTTAGTGGTTATTGATTTACTAAAGAAATTGAGAGTTTATAAAGAGATCAATAAAGTATATGAGTGAGTTACTAGAGGGCTATCCTTCGTAATTTACTTACACTTAAAGAGAAAATTTTAAAAGTCAATAGGAAATACATGTTTGATTATGTGAATGTTCAAACTAAAATATTATCATGTACATACTATTTAAAAATTCGTAATAATTCATAGTTGTCACATCAGTTTATCAACCATTTTAATCAATAATCAGAAGAAACACAAGCTTTTTCTATACAGTTTAGACCGATAGTCACAAAAGATATTGAAATATATATAACTGTCTCCAAAACGATTTCGCTTGACTGGTTTTTTGTAAAGAGAGAGACAGAAAAGGAGAGGGGACTATCAATAGAAGTAATATAACATCAATGCAATTTTCTTTTCTTAATTCACTTATTTTTTTCTCACCAACTGTTCATTATTGTTAAAGCATTCGAAAAGCAATAAATGATATGCATTTTTGTCGCGTTGTCAAAACCTTACGTAATCGATTAAAAATCAGTAATCAAATTAAATTGACAACAGTATCAAAAATAATCTTTAGTCTATTAAAATGAATGTTAAGTCGGTTTTCGGAGAACTTTAATGGAGCCTCCAGAGCCCCAAAAGGAGCCGAAGAGTCCTAGACAATCAAAGCATGATGGAGCATTCTGGAATTCCAACGTGGCGCGCTACTATTGTTCAGTAGTATCATATGTCGCCAACGGATTGGTCGAAATATGATGTTGATTTAACGAATGTTAACATCTATAAATACCCATGTTTTTTGTACAAAAAACGAACCTTGAAGTAAAGTGTTTCTCTCATACTTTGCGTCTTCTTTCTGGTGTTCAGGTCGCTGTATAGTTCTAGCGTGCGGAGTTTCAGGATAGCTTAGGAACGAATATATCGTCCAATCAGCAAGACATAACAATGAAATCATCTATTCATAAAATAATTGAATAAATATTCTCATAAAAATAAAATAAGAATGGAAATGAAAGTTTTTGACAAAGGAGAGAATTTTATTTTCATGGAATTACATGACCATTGATAAAATATCTGATTGAGATCATGAACCAAATGATGTTAAACCATCATTGAAAACCTAGAAGCACTGGACAGCCGTTTCGTCCTATTATGGGACTCCTCAACAGTGAGCATTCACTATCCCGCTCGCGAGGTTCAAATACTAACTAGCAGAATTAATAAATTTGAAAAAAGAAAACAACTATGATGTGATTTTACAATATCTAACTAAATTTTCAATGAAATAAGAATAATAATAATAGTGATCAAAGTCTGTTTCAGTTCTATATGTATAACTTTGTTATTCAATAACATTTCAATTTCGAAAATGTAACATATCTTATTTGTTTTAATGAAATCATTTGAATATGATAATCATCATGTGTAAATTAGTGGTTAGTTTCAAAACAGTATTACAAACTTTACATGTCAAATTGCTATTGATGGAGTCATCTAAGTTAAAATTAGCTATTTCCCTTTACCTCTAATGATATCAGGTAGCCAATATATTACATACATGAATGAACAAATTTGGAAATGCAAGCTTTTAGATTCTAACTCAATAGTCTTAAAGTATTATGCTTGTTGCCAGATACGTATGTCTTATAGTGTATAGTTGTAGTTGTTCACTGTTGTGTAATCTCAAACCACTTACCCAGAACTCTATAAGTTTTAAATGATTCTATAGTTTATATTTGTCTGTTATAAAAGTTATTTTTGTATCAAGTAAAATGATTATTATATTTTATTTACTGGTCAATTATGTTGGAATGATTTTTCACTCATTAATAATTTACCATATCAGATATGTAAGGCTTTAAGCTGAAAAATTCTGAAGACATAGAAAAAATAATAAAAACTGAAACTGCTTTGTAAAAAATAGTTTCTAGTTTCATTTGAAATTTATAAATTGTTTTGGAAATCCAGGTAATTAATAGATTCGCTGACAAAACATGTACTCCTATGTTATTTCTGTTTTTTAAATATTATTCATTAATTAATGAGTCAATGATGAAGAGACAATATATATATATATATATATATATATATATATATATATATATATATATATATATATATATATATATATATATATATATGAGAAACGGCTTTAGATTTGTTCAAAAGTAAGGGAGCACTTGAATGAGCCATAAAATCAAATCTTTAATAGAATAATCTATCTTTACAAATGATACATTTACAGATGCTAACCAAAGAATAATAACTGTGAATATACTCTAATGCCCAGATTCTATGATGATCAAAGAATACATTGAAACTAACTAGGTAGATGTACTGCACTCGTTGTTAAATATTTTCAGTTTGTGATAAACCGTATATTTAAATCCTCCAGTTTATAGTGTTATTTGAATTCCCACTCATTGTCCAGGAAAAATTCACTAATTAATTATTTTTTATTGCTGTTCTGAAGATGATAGATTCGTGTGGATAACCTGATTTAGTATACATATATTTGTTACAATGATTTATAAATCTGTTGCAAAAACTAAACAGAATTATTAGAAGAAAACTTTAGGATAAAACATATTTAAACAGTAGTTTGATCAGTAGTATGAAAGAGACAATGAATTATTGACAAATTGTATGACAAACACGTACTTTAGTTCCTTCTATTAATAACTACTTTTATATACAACGATGAACTTATTCAATCATGAAGTCTGATAATTTTTATTGGGTAGACAACAAGGATTCTCTTATTGATTTTACAATTCTGTCAGTAACTAAAACAGATTAGTTTTTTCTCATCCTAATAAGATATAAAAATAGTGATGGAGGTACTAACAGCTTACTGTATGTTCATTTAATTTAGTCGGTTCAAATGATTATGCAATGTATAACAGCTACATTCTGTTTGTTTAGCATTACTTTATTCATTAGGCAGCAGAGGTGATTCTAGAAAAGTAACTCGTATGCCATTTTCTTGTATTATTTTTTAAACGACAATATAAACGGTGTTCCAAATTGTAGATCAGTGTTTTCCGTACAATCAAAAAGTGATGATAAATATTTGCTTAGTTGAAATAAAAATCCTTCGATGACAAAGAAGTAATTTTTTGTGTTAAATTATGACATTATTTTCAAATAAAATTTAACTCTTTATTGCCTACTGTTTGATAAACTAAAGTTCAATAGGTTTCCGTATCCACTAAAGTTTGGTAATAGATCTTCGTTATATTTTATTGGTTGTCAGTGTTCCACACACATTTATAGTATAATACAAGATAGTGATTCAGAACATCTCCTAGGCAGTTATTTAGCCTGAAATTTATTGGCTGTTTAATGTTACTCACTTTTTTTTTAGTTGCTATTTACGAATTTATGATTTTCTTCAAATTAATAAACTATACATCACTAACGTTGATTTATGGTATCTAATACTGTTACATGGTATTTTTCAATAAAAATTATGTGAATTATTATTTTGGATATTTTTAAATGTTGTCTTATTTATCTACACAACAGAAAAACTGTAATTCTTTAAGCAGATTGAACAATTTTCAACCTGAATATAAAACGTTTCACAGAATTCAAAATAATAAATTCATTGAAAATCGACATTCATGGATAGAAACAAATCTAAATGCAGATGAGGATATATTGAATTCGAATCTAATTATCGGTGAAGCTATTGATAATCGAACGTGTATAAGAAAATATTCCAAATCTCTATCTCAAAAACATTTACATTCACCTGTCTTGTTACATATGACACCAGTATCATCCCTACCAACAACACTAACAACAACATCTCAATATCAACATGGATCAAGTTCTTCTGATGCTGGAATTTCAAGTCAAGCAACTGAAGAGACGGACGAAATCATACAGTATAGCTGGTTTACGCCAAAAATAAATAATTATGATATTATTAGCACTCATTCACCCAATCCTATTAACAATTTTGTCAGTAACAATGATGATAATGATTATCCACAGGAAGTATTAAACAATAATCATCAAATTGAAAAAGTAAATGATAATAGTTTCCAGAAAATCATCAAACATTTTTGTCCTCAACATGGTCAAGTAATAATACCAGAGTGTTTTTATAACCCCTTATTATCAGTCATTGAAGAAATTGAACCAGGTCAATATGATGACCAACGAACACATGAATTCACATTACAAAATAATGAAGTAATTCCACAAAGTGGACAGAAAAAAAATAATTCATTGGATATAAGGAATGTTAGATTGCTACCATCAACAAATGTAACTTATGCATCGTCGTTCACTAGTCATATTATTTTTAACAAGTTAAGTGATCTAGATAAAGATAACGATTTATTATCTGAAACATGTAAGCAAAACAATACTTTATCACAGTCTCGATCAAACGACCAAAAGCAACAACAGCAACATAAAGAGTCACTGAATCGGCGGAACAGTAATTCATGGTCAAATGGAACCTGTGAACGCTTTCCTGAACAGAAAGCAATAAAACTTAACATGATTTTATGTGCGATAACTATAGCCATGTGGTCACCATTTATTACTGCATCTCTTAGTCATTTGTTGTTGAGTAACTCGAATTATTTTCATCTATTGTCCATTGGAACTTTGATACATTTTAAATGGTTAGCTTACATGAGTTCTGTAGTTTATCCTGTTGGATTTTTACTGGTTGATTCACAGTTATGCAGAGCTACATTTTCACAAATATATTGTCGTAAATTCTGAAAACGTTGCTAACATTTCCAATCTACTTTGAAACATTTCAGTAGTATCCTCTATAATAAAGAACAATTCATGGACTGAAAATGTTGGAATCAGTCTGGGCTATGGAAGTTACAGTAAGATTTCACAACCGGTACTTTATAGGTTCACGAAAATGCGGCACTTCAACAATATTGCATCACAAATCGTGTATTTTATGAATATACAAGTGTCTGCTTAATCCCTTTACATTTATTCCGACATGTTAAAAGAAACTGTTAACCGCTTCGGATACATTTGCTTGCCTACATTATTTAACTTCCACATGCAGCTAACCTTATTGTAAAATGAAGAAAGCTTTGGGATGATATAACTATAACTTATAAAAGTTGATGAAAACATTGTTGAAAAATTAGGATAAACAACAAAATGTCATGAAAAATACATCACACTATCTCTCGTTCCCATGTTGTTTATTTACAGCATATATTTAAACGATGGTTTATTTCAGCATCAAATGAATTATCTTCTTTGAATGGTTCAATCTGCATGCGGTCCAAGAAGCATCATCTCTAATAGTATTTTATTTCTTTTTGATAAATTTGTTAAAATGACTATTACTCTACTTGATAGTTTTAATATATTTTGTTCACTTTAACTTTCTATTGTCAATAGAATCTAACTCTCTGTTGTCTCATTTGCTATTTTTGGTGGGGTTGGTTTGTGGCTTTCTGCTTTTTTATATGAATAGTGTGAAGACGGGAAAAACTAAAGGAGAATGACTCGCTTATTGTTACGGGGTTCGACTGTACAATTTATAAGCCTGTGAGGTTAGAAAGCTTTGAGCAGCTGACTAATTTTGCGTGGGTTATGGTCTGAATACTATGATACCTGAATAAATGCTTATTCACATCTGCTGATCGCTAAGTTTTAACAAATATTACGGGATAAGACATGCTGTTAACCTCTGTCTGTAGCTGAAATTTACCAGTAATGTTTAGTTGGGGGAACATCGGGGTTTCTTTCAGAAAACTTTTAATCCTATCAGAAGCCCACATTTAGTTACTGATGTCTTAGCAAATGTAGTAAATTGCAATAAAATGGTACCACTAGAAGCATTTTCACTATATCTTTGACTGATTTACTCGTTAGGTTGAAACTGTAATTTTTTAAATTTCATAGTTCAAAGATATGTATAAAAACTACTAAGCATCTGCAACCAAGTGATGGGGAAAATTAGATTGATGTTTCAGGCGTGACCATCCTTACATGTTTGGCCTGTTCATTACCACAGTTGGATCCTGATATGATCTGCGATCTAAATAGAGCTTGAATTTACTCCGTTAACTCTTGGACAACCCAGTCCAAGAGAAAAAGGACAAAAAGCATAGACAACTGAGTATAGTAAATAAGACTACTCATATCATGTGCAAAGATGGGTATATTGGATAACTCGTATAAAGCACAACTGGAAGATAAACCTTGACAAGGTAAATAAACTTATTAGTACTTGGATCTCATTATCAATGGTTAGTTTTGTATTGGATTAAAAATTAATCTCGGTAACTCAATTAACCTAGTAAATCTTATCCGATATGATTAAAGAATCATCTTGGTCAAAATCCCGTCCTAGTAATATAAGAGAGCAAAAGGTTTTACTTTCAAAACGGTAATGATAATTGTAATAATTGTATTATTTTTTATACGCAGATACATATAAAAGAGTAACACTTACAAACACCAACATTCTTCATCATAAGGCTTAATATAAAAACGATATGAAACTTGAGGTTATATGAGATAGTTGATAAACAAAATGTGATACGAAATTGCAGTTAATAGATGTTAAACTCTGGTCACAATTTGGACGCTAGTGTTCGATACTGAACAGATTCACTCAGCTAACAATTTAGCAGGAAATATTTAATATAACGTGCATCTAACTTTTCCCGCAATAACTTTATTGCTTATGTTATTGGCAGTAGTTTATTTGTTGACTTATCGCTTTCCAAAGTTTTTAAAACCCATAATGTGTTATCCCGGATTCCGCATTCGTATCCCTGCACAGTATCCAGGTGCACCGTCACAGCAATGTGAAGGTATTCGAGTATAGCAAAAATATATTAAACTAATACGTTCTTGTGTCCAAGTCATCCATTATAAGCTAAAATTAGATCAGACGAAATTCGAGGATATAACCCTTAGGTTCTACTTACTAGTAATGTCAAGGTGTGGTAAGAAGACTATAATAGGGAAGCCGTACAAGATGCATTGATTTATCTGACTCTGAAATACATATTCGAGATCATTGTGCATTCACAAATCGCCCAGACACTTCTAACACATCTTTTGTTAAAGGGAATTAAACAAAATGTTTATTATGAAGATCGGCAAGACCGTATATTTTTAACAACTAGGAAATTTGAAGACAATAGTCAAATTATCAAAGCACCACAGCACCCAAAATACGCAAAACGCTAATCAGTTTTCAGTGGAATGGCTAAAAAACAAAACGCACATTCATCAAATGTTATTACTATACGTTCACAGGTACATAAGACAAAGCCTTTATGATTTCAGCAGTTCCTTTCTGAAAATCTTCAATCCCAATTTCCTGCGTAAATCAAGATCACATTGTTAATTTGGTGTGGCTAGTTGTTTGCATTCATCTGTGGTTACTTCTCTTGTTTCTTGGAGACATGATATTACCACATTTCCTAAAGAACATTTTTTCTCACCGTTTTAAGTTCTTAAAATATAATTTTGACTATAACCTGATTGTTTTACGGTTCACTGATGCAGATACTGTCAAATAATCGTACGGTTATTCTACGAATACTTTCTGAGTTCGCATTTTTCAAAGTAACTGCACTTTGCTTAAGAAATGCTAAGAAAGGATAGAATGGCTAGATCAGGTTTTCTAACAAGCGGTTTTTGTTCAGTATGATTCCTGTTTTAATTCACCAGAGGTACAGCTCAGCGAAATATTTGTTTTCTTATGGAAACACCTGAATTTTCTATGTGTGGTGTTCACTCAGGGTAATATTTTTCATGTGCTTTATACACTTCCTGAAATTCACTCGGCGTCTCATGTAACATGGACTTCTTGTAGTAGTTTAGATGTTTTCAGCCAAGAAATCCTTGTCTCTAACTTATCCGTATTACTTCAAACTGTCACTCACCTAAAATATAGTATTATCGTTTGCACCCCCACCCACCAATGTGGTAATGACTAAGTCCTGACACAAAGTGTTGTCAAATGAGATTTATTTCAAACAAGCTTATTCGGCAATCAAAAGCGTTTGGACGGATTACGAGAATGAATTGTGTATGAACGAATAACAGTATATAAGTTATATATGTCATAAATGAGGTATCCTTTTGTGGTTATATCTATTAGTTCACATAACTTACTAGCTCATTCGATAATAAAAACTGGTCGTCTATATTAACTAATTAGCTTTGATGGTTCGTTAACAAGCTTTAATAGCATTTACATGCTTCAGCGACATAGGCTTGTTTAAGCATCAAGCTCTAGCAAACATAACCAGTAAATAACGCAAATATACATCAACTAACAATGCAACAACGACTAAATAGTTACCTGGATCTAATATTCAGTGTTCCTTATCTTATTACCTCATCCTGTTTTAAACTATGCACTATCCTGCAATATCTCTTCTTCCGACCACTGCCTGCCTAATTTCAAATTTTCGAGTTCCATTGCCAAACAACAAGGATGACACTTCTCTAAAAACATACGGTGAGTTTCAGCCATAAGTTTTCTGCAATCATAAGGTCATTTTAGATGGCTCGTTCAATGGTGGCCGCACAATTATCTGGATTCATTCGGTTGTTCTGATCCGAGCGAGTGGCAAAAACGTCAACAGCATCAAGGACTCTGGAATTAATTGCCATACTGCATGTTTTATCCTGGATACTTTTGGATCATTACTACTCCTCACGAATGGCGTTATATATGTCGTCCACTGAATAATATAATTTTCAAAAATAACCCAGGCGAGTTCAACTATTTTACTTAATGATTTTTTGTACTTAACATGTATATGCTTTCCAGTTGCTTTTGCCACATATTTGTAAGTGTCCCTAGGCTAAATGCAGTAACTTCTTATGGAATGTTTATAACGCATTACATATTCCGCCTGAAGTTTCAGAAGCAGTCTAGACTTTAAAATTACTTTTCCTGGTCATGTTCACTATTTTTAAGTCGTCATATACGTCAACAACCTGCATGTTAACGTGGCCCGTACATACGTTACACTATATCTTCATATCTTTTGAATTTAGAAATCATCTGAATCGCCTTTAACATTTATCAATAAACCCACCATAGTCGTTGTTGCTAATCATATTTGGGTTTATGGATTGGTTTATCATAGTAGCAGCCTAAAATGCAAACATACTTTAGATAATAAGATTAAAAATTTAGGTACTATCAACTGCACTTGTAAAATAACTAAATCCCTAGGTAGCTGTTGGCTAAATAAACGTTTAAAATCAAAACTCCGTAGCCTACTAGAATTAACACTAAACGAATCTTTCTGATATAAAATTTATAATTAAATTAGGCGTCTCGGATTCTTTAACGTTACAAATTTCTGATAATTTCGAATCACCTAAAGCAACAATACCTATTTTTCCACTGACTAATCCTCATTCAACACTATAACTAGTTAAACATAATAGTTTCAGGATATCGTCATAAAGCATTGTCATGACTTGACAATCACGTAATATGATTGATAAAATTAATGAAACTATTAACAAAATCGATCAGCAAATTGACTTATAATTATCACTAGTGTTGTTTTTTCTTTTATCTTCATTCACTACAGATGATTACAGTATGTTTCTCTCTCAGTTGCTCATTCAGTAAATATCTCAAAACCTTGTCAGTCTAATTGATGGTTTAGCGACACAATCATGCATGCAAATAATCAGTATAAGCAGTCGAGCAAATCTCCTGCAAACTGAAAACATCAATGTCGAATTTACCCCAACACTGACTAAGGTTCAAGCCATTATCATAGACATGAGTATGGAGTGTACTCCCCCTGGTTACAACTTATGTTCTCCCTGTTAATCACATGAGCATCACTCACCATTAATCATCTTGTAAAAACTTATTTAGCTAAATACATCTTGCAATACCATATCACTTCGTAATATGACACAGGCCTAACTGATTTTAATAACTTATAACCACTATATCTCAATTAAATCGTATTCCGCCTTATTATAAACTGCATACTTGCAACTAACTTGCATGCCCAATCAGCCAGCAAGTATAAATATAAATAAATAGTCTGCCACAGATCAGAACATTGAGTCTAGAGCATGTCTCTTACGAATACACTCATGTTTAACGATTTGTTCCTAGCTATCTGTCCAAAATTCATATAATCATCACTTACGTATTTAAATTTTGTTTTGATAAACATTCATGTGTATTAGTAGTATTACTAAATTCTATCACGGTCAAGTAAAAATGAGGTTGAGAAAATCTACCCGTAACTAAATAAACCGTATCAAACTGACTGGAACACTAGTTAGAATTCTTCTCCACGGTATACTTTTGTTCCTTCAGTTAGCCTACTAATACAGATGCAATTGGAATTCAACTCTTATGGACAACTTACCGGCATAATCGTTATCTGATTTCATAATTTAAACC